TAAAAACGATACACCTGGACAAGCTTTTTCAACATACCCAGATTTAAAAAAACCCATCTAAAACACTTGTACATTTAAATAAAAGTTGCAATCGCTCATCAGCATACTAAGGACAATGCAATAAAACATTACACTCATCTTCAATAAAATCTTTATAGTTTCGATTCTAAGCGGCGCTACCACACATCTAAACATAGCTAGTGCTTTTCTCATAGAGCAAGACATTACAATTAACATAAAAATCACTGCAAAAATCCAACTTTAAAGTACAGTACGTGTGTAACTTATTACCTCCTCTACCAGTTAAACAAACTTGTAAAAGGTCCTGTTTCCATTTATAAAGGAAATCGCTAAAACAACCTCTGTCACTTTTGAAACTACAACAGGAATATTGATACACAAACGTGATATCGTTATATCAACACCCAACGACAAATTATTAATCATAACAATAAGATGCACTAGTGTGATGCCGCGATAAGACTTTGGGTCTCTCGGGTTGTCCAATCCAGACTTAGGGGTAGGGGTGATGATCCCCTGGGCCGAGTTGGAGGGTACATGACAAGTCTCATAACATGTAGAAAACAGTTTATGAAGATAATCTATACAGATGTCATTTGTCAAAACATCAACTGGAATATTATCGAAACCGGGTGATTTCCCTCTCTTAGCTTGACTTAGTGTCATCAGTAAATAGTCAAAGTTTTCAACTCCTAAGACCTAAGGGATGAAATGAGACTAAACAGTAAAGCCGTGAGAAAATTAACTTGGTACCCCCACTCAAGGTAGTAATTAGCCAAAAGTGTCCTCGGTAAATTGTCAAAGTTTTCAACTCCTAAGAACTAATTAAGGGATGAAATGAGACTCAACAGTAACGTTTTGAGATACAAACATTAATTTCACACATTCACTGATATCCTAACAGGGAATGTGTGTAATGGAACACCATGAAAATCAGTAATTTCATGAAATCCCTTGAAATTTTAGGGAATACATGAAATCCCTGGGGGTCACAGGGATTTCATGAAATCACTGACTCTTTTAGGGATTACGTGAAATCCCTGGTTTCACACATTCCCTGTAACATATATATGCTCCTTCATCCTTATGCTGTTCATCACTTGGTTGATAAGGGTGTTAGGACCTACACCAAAACGTCGCTCTCACAGCAATAAAGCAGTTGTTCATCCATATATTGTTATCCTTCCTTAAGGTGAACACAGTCATCTCCTGGATGTTCAGGCACTGAACCAAATGAAATACTTTGTGCGGCTAGATGTTGATAATATAATCTTCTTTCTGGAGAGAATTGTGTCGCTTGTCTTTACACAATAGGTGGGGACAAGTGTGGTACTGGGTCCACTAGGTGAAAATCATTGACTGATCATCATAAATGGACAGTAACATTTTTTACACCGAAGGACGTTTACACACGGCGACGTTTACACAGGGAACGTTTCCAGAGAGGAACGTTTACACAGAGGAACGTTTACACACAGGGGGGCGTTTACATTCAGATTGACGTTTGCACAGAGGGACATTTACACACAGGGCGGTTTACACACAGAGGGACGGTTGCACAGAGGGACATTTTACACAGAGGACGTTTACACACAGAACATCGTTTCCACAGAGGATCGTTTACACGAGGAACGTTTACACACAGGGACGTTTACATAAGGAACGTTTACACACAGGGACGTATGCAGACAGGGACGTTTACACACACAGGGACGTTACACAAGGAACGTTTACACACAGAGGAACGTTTACGCATAGAGGATCGTTTATTTACATAAGGAACGTTTACACACAGGAACGCTTACAGAACGAACGTTTACACACAGGGACGTTTACAGAACGAACGTTTACACACAGGGACGTTTACACAACGAACGTTTACACACAGGGACGTTTGCAGACAGGGACGTTTACAGAACGAACGTTTACACACAGGGACGTTTACAGACAGGGACGTTTGCAAACTGAGATGTTTGCACAGAGGTATAAGATCGAGAAGTGTCATTGTTCCTGGTATATGTCACAGGAGAAGAAACTGCCGAGGCGATGATATTCTGATATACTGTGAGGTAAAAGGATCACTTCGTAATCACCATACAAATAAAGCGCCACTTTGATGAGACCAGTGTTTTAATATATTTGTATATAACAAGTAATATAAGCGAGTTGAGCTGTTGGAAGCTATTTGCGATTTTTTATACTAAACAACAACGCAAAAATGTTTTTTGCTTGTAGATGTGCTCGAAATCAGATTTTCGTGAATGTCCATAAATATTTTACAGTGAAAGGATACAACGCCTGACTGAGTACTAGTTTTTGTTAACACTACCTTGAACACTCACATAGAAGGCCACACGCACTGATGAGAATGTTTGCACAACGATAACGACAGCACCCCCACCCCCACCCCCCAACCCTCATATGGAACATGAACCACCTCACTACTATTTGATATCAGGAAAAGGATATCATGTATGTTTTAAAACAAAAGGGAAGTATATTAAGTGGTGGAAGCAAACACCTCACATCATCCAGACTGACTGAATTCACCCAGACTAGATTCATACAGTTTACACATCGGGTTTATGGTTCAAATCTAAATGAACCCAATAAAAAGCACACACACACTGTCAGTCAATCCTTAAATTATGTCGTCAGATTCAGAGGATTTCTATTGTTTATGGAAAGGATGTTGTCGCTTTTCCGAAGAGAACTTATACAAGTGATACAAATCCTATAGAGGGGCTGAATGAAATCCAGAAACAGAACCATATAAACTGAGATCAAATATATTTTTATCTAGCAATATTAAATACACTCAAAAGATACTTTTGATACTTAAGTTGACTTTAAAATACATAAAAATGCACACTACACAACTGTTGTGGGGTATGTTAGACGTCTTATAAATTTACATATGGTACAATGCCCGAGTTTAATGATCCATTTTCATAGTTCTTTTACTGTTTTACCCCCATTGAAAACCATTTCGACAGATAACCGGGTGTGGTTATACCCTGGCGTTGATGATTTGTGGTTAATGTACATCCATGCTATCTATACATTCAGCCCTTTATCCCATATCTGCATTGTATATCCTGGCCGGAGATATAAAAGCTTGCTAGTGTTGAAAAGCGGAAGCCGACATGAGGCCTACTGTCACTCTAGTGTGTAATGGCATTATATTGACTTTGGGGCATTTTGTATTGATTTGTGAACATAGTTAATTATATGATACAATTGTTAATTGCAAAACATTTCTTCTGAGTCTGTTTCACGCTGCCTTCTTTTTCTTGTTTTCTTGGTTACCTTACTATTTCAATTTATAAGATACTGTAAATCTTTTCAAAGCTGGTACATGCTTGAAACCGTTGATAGGCATCGATGTAGGCATTGCTTAAGCAGTTGTCTTCTATGACCAATGAAATCGTTCTCAGTGCACTGATTACTCCCTATTGACGATTGATCTTTATGTCAAAAAATATATCTGTACGTTCAACATGTTATTTTTTCCCTTATAATCACATCTACAGCTGGCATATGATATACGTTTAATGCCTACGTATAGATATCTGGACCAAATTATTGTATGACTTTGGACATCGACCAGTAACATATGAATCATAATTGCTGAGTATATCAACTGCTTAGAGTGCTGAGAATTGACGTCATGAATGTGATAGTGTACTGACAGTATACTGATGAGTGTGAACGGCAAGAAACAACAGTTGGACGGGAGGTACTCACTCTGGTTTCACATTTCATGATGGAGACATAACTGATTCAATCTATGTAAATCCGATACATTATTTATTCATGTGGAAACGACACAGAACAGAGAATAGTGCTTGTTAAAGGTCACATGCAACCCAAAAATCGAACATAATTAAAACACAATTATCACTTATTCATGACATATAATACAGATAGTTGATTATGAAAAAACATATCAACAAAATTGTAAGCGTACAATCGGTAATCAAAAGTGCAATATTTTGTACTTGAGTTTACTTCCCTAGAACCGTAGAAACGAAGCAGCCGGGATACCGAACCCAGTCAGAGCGGGTGGGTGTGCACTCAAGTGTAACGGCTGGTTCATTTGCAGATGCCCTCACGGCTCATTGTGTGTGTATATATAGAGATGTTGGGTTTTGTAAATACATGCTCATTTTTAGTGTATAACAGTTTGCAATCAACAGACATCATAACATGTCATCTGTACAAGTATCACACCTGCCTGTCTGTGTAATTACATAATGTGACAGAGACCGAACTCGGGCCATAAATCAATGCGTTTTGTTTATGGTGTATAGCCTGATAGGTTTTAAGTTCAAATTGCATGTGGTCAGTGATCGAAGTTGTGTATTGAATATTGTCATTAGCATACAGTCAGGCAGACACATAGGTGTCAACAAAACAGACACTGAGTTTTGTCTGTGACAACGACATATCTATATCACAGTTAGAAATTCTGTCAACGCTAAATAATGACATTGCTTTTAAGTATCGAACTGAGAAAGTGACTCGGTAAGAAGAACGTGTGGTGAAATAGACGCAGCCCAGCGCAGCCCAGCTGTTGAAACCACATTCCCCCCCCCCAAAAAACGCCGGGGGAAAATGAGTGAATCGTTGAACTCAACTTTATAAGTTGAATTTGCATTTTTGATGATTTGTTTCGGTAAGTCCAAACCGAAAGGTATCAGAATCTGCAAAGTTGTGTTTTACTTTGTATGTGACCTTTAATGAACGTTGCCTATGAACCTGGTTTGGGGAAGAGAGATTTATGGGCTTAACACACGGTGAATGTGCTTAATCGGACCCAATGCGAGAAAATAGAAGGAAAAAGTACACCAGGAAAAAACTTAAACATCCTTATCATGTGACAGAAAGACTGAAAGTGGATACGACTGGTTCTCTGACGTGCTGCTGTTGTATATACGAGGTTGACAATACAGTGTATACAGGCTACGTTAGGTAAACACACAACCTCTCGTAATGCGCCCCATTTACCTGCATGCTTCATGTGAATTTAACTTCCTGGTTGGTATAAACATGGCGTGCTGTACACACAGGGTGAGAGAGACGTCCATCGTGTTGTTTGTAGTTTTTTCTCTGCAGTCCGGATACACCAGTAAGTAACATGTAACATATTAATGTAATATTTGTGATATATCATTCGATAACCTACAGAAGTATCACATAATGAAGAAGTTGAGATCGCCCCCACGTACTACTAGTATATAAAGTATATCATTTGAAAACGAAATATGATACATTCTTTGTGTTAAATAGGTTCTGTTTTACTAGTGTCTAAGGCATTAGGCATTAGATAATGTTCGGAGGTATGCTTGCCTCGTTGGGATTGTTTTGACATGACTGTTGAAAATCACGTTTTACACAACTTAATATCAGTTTTCGTGTCGCGCAAGACTATCTGTCTTTATTCCTCACAAAAATATTATTCGATTTAGATAATTATAATCCTGAAGACCTAATGTGACAAATGTTTGAAAAATAAGCCGTCTCATTTCAGTTGCATGGGTTAATGATAAATTTGGCATTCAGCAAATCGAATTGTAATAAACTCATAACACAAAATTGATTCATTTTATATTAATGCCTTAGACACTAGTTAAACAGAACCTATTTAACACAAGGAATGTATCATATTTCGTTTTCAAATGATATACTTTATATAGCACGTGGGGGCGATCTAAACTTCTTCATATTGGCCAAACCTTAAATGTACAACTTCTTTGAGTTGCATTTAGAATATGGTGTGATGAACAAAGGGCATACTACTATGAAGTAACATCTTCAAGAAACTTGCTTGATAACAGTTGTGTTAACATCAACACCGAAACGTCGCATATATTGTAATAAGGAAGCTGTATATCCATAGAACTATCCACCTTGTTAAACGTACACAAATACCAGCAGTTGTCTTTGTACAAAGATATAATCTGAGATCTTCTCTGTGATGGTTTAAATCGAGCTTAATAGCAGTTATATGTACCAACAAATACTAATCTCGAAATGTCTGTTTTGGGGTGCAGGAAAGCAGTCTATTTCTCCGAAGAATGCTAAAGCAAAATTTCAAAAAGTCAACTTCCGAGACCAAAAAGCCTAGGATATCTGCAGAAAACTATTCCAAATTATGTGGATGGGTCACTGAAAGTCTCTGTCTACACCAGATGTTCACGAAAAGGGAAAGCATACCATTCTGTGCGAGCACTCTCACACGTGTCAGTCAGTAATACACGATGAAAAAGTTGTAGGATAGGTAGTCTATTTCCTTTTAATGACTAAACAATGGTATCATCAATTCTTTGTGGTGATCCATAAACACATTCTCTGTCATCGTATCGCATGGTGACAATCACTGGGTTGTCTGGTCCAGACTAGATTTGTTTACAAACACCATCATACAGCTGTTATGCTGCTGAAACATATATGTGCTCCCGATATAGTCACAATTGTGCAATGTACTCTGCTTCCAGCAGAGATGACTTATGAATGTGGAAAGGGTTTTGTCGTTTCTATCTACCATAACATTCCTAAATAGTCGCCCCTTATACACAGAGAAAGTTTACAGGAGCTCCAGCGTTTGAAGTCTGAATTAAACCATTTTGGTGCTATAAGCTACAATTATTGCTCAAAAGTGAATTGATTGGGGTTTCAATATTCAATACCTAAGCAAAGCTTTCCTCAAAAAAGTTTATTACAAACATCTGGAGGACGTTTCCCAATTCGATGCATCAATGACCAAAATGATGTCTGATGCCATAGTTTGACGAGTACCATAGGTTCCCTATATCTGGTGAACACCTGCCTTTGCATTTGATCTAAAAGTATTCCACCCAGAATATGGTACGCGAACCTTTTTATGAACACCTTTCATCATTTTTATTGAAAGTGATAATGCACCTATGCTCACGATGTAGTCACAATCATACAGTCATCTTTACTTTGGGTTGTGTGTTCTTTTCACATTCAGTCTCCTTATGATTTATGGTTCTGAATTACGTCTGCTGTGTACATAAGTCTAAGACTGTACTTCATGGTAGCTATGTAACAAACATAGTTTACATTCCTTTGCAGCCACTCATGAAAAGTATATCTACCTTAACAACAGCCAACTGAACTGGTGGGAAGCACGGGCCAGCTGCCAGGCAAATGAAGGCGACCTGTTTGTTCCAGTGACAGAGCCCGAACCTTCCCCGTCTGTCCGGGACACGAAACCGGAGCACATACTATTGGCTGGGGGCTATGAGGTATTCGACTTGGATATGGACAGGTGAATGATATCGTTACTTAATCCGTCTATGACATATTACACCTTGATTGTATATTAATTGCATAGAGCATGCACATGTTTTGTCAGCGTTTATCATAAAGACCATCTACGATTTAGAGGGACTTTTCCAGTATTTTCTACAGAATATTTTTTTCTAAAGAAGCACCAGACAGTGGTAATGACGGTAGAATCTCATAATCACTCTCTCTGGTTTAGATGGGTTTTCGGGTATTTTCGTGAGAATCAAGTTTTTTAAGGAAGCACCTGACAGAGTTAATGACGGTAGTATCTAGGGGTAATTCATCTTAAGGGAAGAACACGAAATTCTGGGAAACCCTATCAACAGTATATGTTAATATTCTAAGAGTATTTTCTATGATTATTGTAGGCGATGGTAGTCCTTTGTACATAAACTCCAGGCTCAGTATCCTTCCTGGTAATCTAAAGGCAAACATGACCTTTCCTGACAACTCCGTCTACAGATGTCACCGTTACTGTGGGAGCGATACTCATACACTGGGCTTGAGTGTAAGATTATGTTAAAACTATTCTTGATCCGAAAAGTGGTTACAACTTTACTTAACCATAAGGCGGAAGTATTATTTTTCATATTTCATTTACAGACTTGGTATTCCGGCACTGTACGAGGAGTTATCAAAAAGTAATTAGCCTAACTATATTCTCGATGTCCAACGTTTGAAAAGCTTCCTCTTTATTTTGAAGGAATCATCAGCAAAGCCATATCCAAAATTTCACATATGTTGGTAATGAGGTCAACGAGACATAACAACATATTGGGGTGTAATATTTGTACAATAATTGCAGAAAATGAAAACCTATATGTGATACCACTTGGTATGCCCTCAGACATGGTATGCCCTCAGACAATATCATATAAAAAATGTTCAGTATGGTATTGGATGACTAAGTTATGTCCTTATGATTACGCCATCTCGAAGGGGGTGGGTAGTGTCTCCAAAACAAGGTGTTTCAGTAAACATGAAGGGGGGAGTCACTTTAACAAGCGATAGGAGTTTCAAATTGCTTTTTATGCACTTTGATATCTAAGTTTGAGTCTAGCGGACTTCTGTCTATTTCAAACACACAAAATGTTCCTTGCATATTTTGCTTCCTGAAGTTTGTGATGCATTTATTGCAGATTTTGCGTTTTCGGTGGGTACCAAGATAACAAGATAAACAAAACGGGGATCGTGAGGTTGGAACATAACAAAATCAATATGCTTGAGGTTGACAGATAATATGTACACAAATAAAACTTAAAAACCGCTGCATTTGTATCATTGTGTGGGTGAGGCTCACTACATTTTGATAGCCCCTCGTAACGCTGACTTCCAGCAAACATTCGAAGTATGATGCATTCTGACACCTTGCACTGCTTTTAATTTCCTCAAATGATATTTGTTAAGCATCCATACAGCTTGAGTGTAAGGTTTTTAATTGCATATCTACATACAGTATACCATTGTCAAAACTGTCCTCATGTATACTCTCGGATTAAGTACTTATTTTCGCGACGCACAGTTTTATAAGACGCACGATGCAATTCAGACATCGCATACTGATGTTCGAATCTTGTTCATTTTGTTGAATATATAATTGTTGGTAGAGAGACAGGTGTTTTTGTCTTGGTGACAACGATGACGTCTCAAGCAACGCATATGGGGAACCGTGTCCTGGAAACCTTGACGAAGTTTGCGGGGACGACAACCAAATGTCGGTCTATAAACGTCGTATGTATTTCTGTCCATAATGTATTCGAGTTCTTGTTAAGTACTACGTATATTCTCATGAAATCAATTTTTTGGGGAAATTATTTCGTGTAATTTCATTAAGGTTATCACTTGACTATATTTAAGCCCAAGGTGTGAGTTGTCTTATGCTTTCTAAACGTTTATGGGCATGGAAGACATGTCTAACATGCCAAAATGATTTCCGATACAAATCTCAGTATTTAACTTAAACCAAATGATCCTATGCTTGTTACTTCGCGTGCTCTTGTAGCTGATACGCGAGTTTTGTTTCCATTTCAAACGATTAGTCTTCCATTACAGATGTATTGTTTCGGTTTTACAGGATATTGTTGCAGTTTTGGAAGTTTATTTTCCTATTTTGGTGATTTGTGTTCTGTTTTGGTGTATATGAGTTCACTTTTGATGATTTGTTCACCGTTTGTATGGTAGGCCTGAATTCGTCTTAAAGTAACTGAAGCTGAAAACGAAAGAGAAGAGAGAGAAGCAGCTCGAATTACAAGGTCAACTCTCCCATACTACTGACCGCAACAGCTGATACATCGTTTGATCTATAAGACGGATAAGATTTGTTCCGCCTTTACCTGAACGTGATGTTGAAAAGAGTTTCTTGCATTTCTTGCAACAGTGGCTGACATTTTGAAATGGCCTGAGAATCAGTGGTCAGTGTTCTTGAATGGAAAAGGAATTCTGATTCATACTCTTAAAGCTGCAGATTTGAACGCGAATGAATATCGATCCTGAAGCTTACATGCAAACGTTTAGGTCTGCTATGAAAAGGGATGGAACTACTTTTGCTGAGTTTTCTAGGGAGAAGGAAAATTTGTTTGATAGATGTTGTACTTCTAAAGAGGTCATGTGTAATTTTGACAGTTTGGGGCAGTTGGTTCAGCTTGAAGAGGGCTTGCAGGTGGTTCTGAAGATTCTTCTGGATTTTCATCAATTAAACTACTTGTAGATATTGCCGTAAGCCAGATCACCTCATTTCTGAGTGTCATGGTATACCAATGTAGGGAATGGATATATTGATGGGTTTAAGTCTTTTGGAGGACGGCGAGTTGGTTCAGATGACTATTTGGGATTGATAGTGGTTTCGCTACATTGATGATTTGATGTGATAGTTTACCAGACTCCCCATCTTCCAGCCTCCACAACCTTCTCCATGCTAACGGAAGAAAACCTCCAACCGTCAATAGCAACCCGAAATGTGGTATTTATAAAATAAACTGTGATTGTAGACAGAGCTACATAGGCGAAACATCCGACCAATCAACACCTGAGTGAAAGAACATCAGTCTTCTGTTACCAAATCCGACCTCAAATGAGCCATATCTTATCAAATCAAGTCAAAACCCGATCAACTTGTTTGACATTAGCATATTTGCGAACAATCAAACGAACTTCACCAAACGCAAACTGATTGAAGCCATTCACATCAAACGTCAAAAGCCCACGACCAACCGACATCAAGGCTATTTCAGACATCTTACACTCCTCTAGCAAACCCAATGAGTCTAAATGTGTGTACGTATGTATATGTATGTGTGTATTATTTCAGCTTCTGAAGACCTCGCAGTCTTAGTGTTCAACCCGACGGAGACTGGACAATGTGGCTATGCAAAATTGAAAAACGAAAGGTTGACCATTTCATTCGATAATGGTGACAATTGTAAGGAAGAACAAAGATACGCATGTTATAGAGAGGGTGAGTAATGTTTAACTTCAGTTATCAAACATGAACATGAAACTATACATTTCTTTTAATGACCTGTTAAAAGCTCTATATTTGCATATACAATACAGTTCTCTAATTTCTATTTGTTTACTTATTCCAATATATAGGCTGTAAAAGATCTACGATCGAAAGCGAAATCCTGTTGTTAACATTAAAATATTGCTTTATTTGCTTCCTCAGTGGAAACGTTTTTGTTGGTTGGTTGCCCGTTTTAACAATTGGCATTGTGATATATTTCAACATATTACTGAAGTGTTTTGCTCGTGAAAGAACAATATAATCCTGTCATGATTTTGATTGCTCAAAATGAAAACACCAATTATACGTTTCAAGAAGTTATAATACTAATGGTCTTGATTGTTGTACTTTTACTTCTTTCAAAACAGGCTACTCCCCAAAACTGTCCCATTTCATAAACATGTTGTTGGATCATTGAGATAGAGTGCCCTGGAAAAGCCTCAATAGGTCTGTTCATGTTGCTGCTGAACCACTATTTACAGAGTATACAAAACAAACAGTCTATACCAGTTCCATGCAGTACTAAACTGAGGCTTTTAGTTAACAATAGCACTTGGCAATGACGAAACTTATCCCCCTCATCATTTGCCTTGAGAGAAAAATTAGCAATATTCAAACCTGTGAAGTCCATGCTGAAGACGACACTAAGTTGGTGTCTCTGCCACGGCAAATTTGTATGGAAAAAGACGTGATAAACAAAACATTGATAATGTGTATGCAAGGGGATGTGTCTTCACTCTGTTACTTTATACATTGAACTCCCTTATGATACAGAGCAAAACGGTTTGTCATGTTTTAGTGGTTATAATTGGTGTTTGTGAAAGACCAATTTTTAGACGAATTGACTAACTTGAAGATTAAAAGCTGTGTGGTATATACTTGGGTTTCGCCAGTTTTGTACACATGGGTTAGAAAGGCAATGTCTTTGGGGATAAGTCAGTGTGTGGAATATTGTATGACATTTATAAAAACATTGTGTCAACTGCCTATTTATGATTATTGTCTTATTAAAAGCAGTTGCAGAAAATATTACAAGTGCAGTATTCATGAACATTTACATTAATTTCATGGTGCAATTGATGGACGTAGTTCGTCAAATGTTTTACGTCGATATTACGTTGACTTAACAGCAGGTAAAATGATTCCGATTTACATTATTATGGTGTAATTTTGGATCATTACTTAACGTTGAGGTGATGTTTTAGGGAGAACAAGTGAAGGGGGTTACAGCTGCAGAGATGATGTGTGTGTTTCCAAAGATTGGCGAAAACACACATGGACGGAGGCAAATGAACAGTGCGATTTGGTGAAAATTCACAGTTCCACTGTGAACGATCTAAAGGCCAAGATGTCAAGTAATACGAAATACTGGATCGGTCTTGATTACAGGCCAACTAGAAAGTGGATAATGGATATACCTTTCGGTGAATATTTATCAGTTGTTAAATATTTTTCACTTTAATATCTGGTATTGTGTGCAAAGTCAGTGCATTAATTCATCACAATATGAGCTATTTACGTCTGACGCTGTCAACCTCTACATGCACGGTTATGCAGCTAGCTGAAAACAACCACGTGTAAAAGACACTGCTATGACACTGCCATGTAGTGTGACGAAACCATTAAGGTTTGAACTGACAAACGTCCGTCGGGAGAAATAGATAATCAGCTGCATATACATATTTATATGCAACAGAGTAAACGATACTGATTTCATAAGACCGACTGTAACATAATCGTGCTCCAGTCAAGTATCAGTCATTAACGATGTTATAATGCGTAAAGGTGTATGGAGAATTATTGTTTCTATATCCAGGGCAGGAAGCAAGTATATATGATGAGCATTCTTCATCAGAGCCCCAGTGCCTAGCAGTGTTTCTTAGGACGTGGTACCCCCTTTTGTCTTGGAAGCCATGCTATTCTCTGTACGCTTCCATATGTGAAATAGGTGAGTCTGTGTTATGGATGAAGGTAATGTAGACATGATGGGATGACTAGCACCGTGTGTGTCATGTAGTTTTCTTCCTTTTTACACGATAAGGAAATATCCGCTGTATGGGAGACATTGGTTCATTGAGCTTACTTAAACTAATATATAGGGCCTAGAACATGTCAAGTCGCCAATGATTCAAACACACATGTAAAGTAATATCATCACACAAGTATTAACTGATCTCTCATCAATCAATCTAGTTGGACACAAAACGTCAACAACAACCATGACATCACAACACTCATCATCACCAGCTGCAGCAACAACAGCATCTGAAACACCAACATACCAACCAAGAGGAAATGTTCCTACATCCGAAAGCTACATGTCTACCTCCACCAATAACCCTGAAGTAGGACCGACTGAACCAGTCACAGCTTCAAACGGAACACAGACGGGTAGGTATTATGCCCTTTATACCCTGGTAGAAGTGATCAACATGTGGTTTTAGTCGATTTCATATGACCATTATGAGTTTAACTATTATACTTATTTTCTACAATAAACTCTGAGAGTATTAGTATTCCTTTCAAGGGCACGCGTAGCCCAGTCGTCTAGGGTGCCGCAATTCGGTGTGAAGAGTTGCGTCCCTTTAGACACGGCGGAAACCAATGGTGGTGGGTTCAAATCTAAATTCGCCCCGAATACATTTCTAGGTTTGTCACCAAAGTGGTTAATGTCTGAGACCTTCGAGCTTTTCCCCTCACAATACCATGCCGTGATATCAATTCAATGAAGGATACCAAACACGTAAGCTGCTTTGTGCAATAGCGTTAACAGGAGACGCCATATGATTTTGATGCACCATTCTTTCTTTTCTCCAGGTGTGTTCATAGGTCTAGGATGCGTTTTGCTTATGCTCATCGGCATCATTGTAGTACTCCTGTTGATGAGGTGAGATATATCCAGCGCACTCAGAACAGTTGCTATGATACAAGTACTTACTATGCAAACTGTCTATAAGGTTTTGTGTCCATGTTTTTCTATAATATGCTTTGTGACTGTTGTCATAGTGCCTCATGCTTTCGTTAGAAGCATAATGTGACATCCGTCTAACTGACCATGGTTTGCCAAGTTCTATTCAAATTTAACAACATCTGTTTACATCTGAAATGTTATGCAGGGCACGAATGAGTTTGAGGCACCGGAGTCACACAATGCTTTGAGAATATTTGCGTCTTAAGGTTAGCTTGAAATCTATGCTGGCTTTTTATCGGCCGTCCCGCTAATGACAACATTATATACTTGCCTCTAGATATCAAACTCACTCGCTCCCTCAGAAAGAAACTTGACGTCTTGCATGATCTGGCTGATCCAGCAAATGCTTCTTACATTCTGCGAATGTGGCATTTTGGTATAGACGTATACATGCATTAATCAAGCAACATGTGTATATAGCAACTGATTAAGTCGTATTATAATGTTTACAGCATGCTATATTTTGTGTTTCAGACAAAATAAACTCTGTTTTAAGAGGAAAGACAAGGAACAGTCGATGCACTTTAACACGGCCACACAAAACACCACATATGATGTGGAGGTACCTACACAATCAAATACCTCAGCATACACTGACATCACACTAGCAGATATGACTGACGTCAAGCCAATGTCTTCCGCCGTGCCTATGGCAACAGTACGACCTAGAGTTCAAAACTACGACAATACCTTTCACTCAGATGGAGATGAGAATGATTACAATGTCCTATCACCGCCTGGAAAACATCACACTCCGGGGACACCCGGGAAACCGATCAACAACCTCCCAGGGCCTGTCAAAGGGGACTACGACACAGCACAAGCGTGGGGCCAACGGCATGGGTCTACTGGGCTGAACAAGTCGGGACCGTCTGCTGCGACGAGAGCTCCAGAGAATTGCCAGGGAGACAACGACGTAGTCGGGCAGCACGACTCCGAAGGAGACCTTGAGGTGTATGACCATTTGAGAGATGGCGAGGGGGATCATGCCACCTCACAGCAGGGAAAGACTCCAAGAGAAATTGATGAGTCGTACAGTCACATTGGGAGGACCAACAAGGGATTTGATGACAACGCTTATGACGTTGCCAGTGCGAGGCAGACGGAGGACAGACGTGACGACACCTACAACCACACCGACTCTGTTGATGACAATCCAGGAGACACCAATGACTACTACAACACAAGGTCTCTCTTCAGAGACAACAACGAGAGCCTTGGTCGACAAGATGAGATACCGGACAACACTGATGTCTACAGTCGTGCAAAGAGAATTTCTGATGCATGACTTTAATAATGCCATTATTCATAGTTCCTCAGTTTCGTAATGTTTGATTTGAAATTCAGTTTCATGTTTTAAAATATAATTGTCAACATTTACCCATCAATAACAAAGATTCAGTTGATCTTCTAGATTCCATGGCCGTTGTATGTGGTAAACTTTCAAAACATGCAGAACACGGTTGAAAGGATAAATCTGAAAGTCCACTTTATGGCCTTGCAGCCTATTAAGTTTAAGAATTTTTCATGTTTTAAATACATGTGAAAAAACTGTACTTAGAAATAATAGCAGCATGATATTATATTAAGCTTAACCCAGTTTAACCCAGAGATGTAATATATGTACATAACTGTTAGGGTACTATGTTGTAAAATAATTAGTAATTGTTTCTGTATTAGGTATGTTAAACTCCTATACTTTCATACCCCTCCTGTTTGTATTTTGTTGATGTATCAAAATGAACGAAATAACCATGAATAGTTTATTCTTTTAGATTTATATATAAATATATATGTTATGCACGAATGCTTAATAAAACATATGTCACCATGAAATACATATTAATGTCTGTATTTCTTCCCGCATCTTTCAGATTCGCAACATCGCCTACGTAGGCCTGTGTGGTCACGTGACAGCCCGACCGGCTCTCATGATAATACTGAATACTGAAGTGTGTTGACGTTGAGTCCCGGCCTAAAACACAGACACTGTTCGTGAATACAGAGTCAGGTTGACTCATGCATAACATGTAGAACCAAACATACTTGATGCAACACGCTATATTTACCCACCTTTGTTTACTGGCCTAGTTGTAGGGGAATCTCACTTCCTTGTTGGCAATATCTTGTGTATGGAGTTACTGGGTGTACTCAGTGGTATGTTTTAGTACAATGGTAGATCTTGTGTCGTTAATGACAAGACAAGACAATCGAACAATCGAATTGTGCCGAGATGATCTAACAATGCTTGGGATTTGGAATGCAGGCAATCCCAACAAAACTATTTTGATATTATAATCTATTTATATAGCGCCGAGTTCCAGCTAGGCTGCTCACAGGCGCTTTGTTTTTCCCTCGATCATAGGATGTCAGTCTCAACGGCACTTCGTATTATCAATCTCAACTCCCTGGGGATCATACAACTCATGCGGCCACTAGGCGTTAATGTGGCTTTCCCATATTTATGAGGTACCCATTCACAGCTGGGAGGACTGAGACACATAGTCACAGTACTTTGTCCAAGTTGACCGCACGTTGCTGTACCCGCAACTAGTTGTTTGCATGTATTCATGTGACCACCATCTGGTCATATACCAACGGATTCGTGGGTTCTTTAAAGTGCACAGGGTTGTGTACTGTACACTAGGGGTTGTGACAACACAGAAAGAGTCTGCACACAAAGTTGACTCCAAGGTATTTACACCCGGTCACAGGTGGGCTCGATCCCTGCACCTCAAGCTCGCTGGATCACTAGCCTGGCGCCTGAGACAGCTCGACCTCCACGCCCACTTATAATGTGCATTTCAGATGTTTTAGTCCAAACTGATCTCACTGAACTGGGAACTCTTTTGTAGTTACAAGTCTCTTGGGTTTAGATAGGCATGCAGGATTTGTCTCCCTTGTCCGTACAAAACGTATTGCATTTAGCAATATTCCAGCAAAACCACGGCGGGGAACACTAGAAATTTGCTTCACACATTGTACCCATGTGTGGAATCAAACCCGGGCCTTCGGTGTGACGAGCGAAAGCTTTAACCCCTTGGCTATCCTACCGCCCTGAAAACTATAAATCATTGCACGGTGCAATGACTGTAATTAGTTGTCAGTTAGCAATATCGCCAAGTGACATCGCCCTGGCCTATCGATGTATACGTTCAGTTCTATCAGTAAAGTCGTGTTGGCTGGTCGTGCCTGTTGGTTGTCTCTCGTGGGTAATCACACACAACCGAGAGAAGAGAACATGGTGTCAGGACAAGACAACATGAAGTTTACGCCGAAGAATTGGAAGTAGACAGAGATACAAGTAGCGTCCACTTGACAGAACTCACCAACCAACCCACGAAACAGAATTTCCACGTACACGACAGCGCAAGTGGAAACATGGCCGCCTCCTTCAAGTTCACCCGAACGTGGCCGAACTTCGTGAGTGAGTATGGAAGGATAATTTCGGACATAAACACAAATTACTAAGTAGAACATAGCAAAAATGGTATATATAAAGCCACCATCAGAACTGGAATTTCACACAGCTAATTTAGCAGAAAATTGGAACAGATGGAAACAAAGTATGGACTTCTATTTGAAGTTAGGCATGCCAAAGGCAAACGAAGAGGAAAAATGTAATGTGTTCTTGTATATCAAGACAAGGCGGTAGAGACATATATAATACATTCACATTTGAATGGAAGTTAACAAGATTAATCCTAACCAAGTTTCATGAATATTGCACTCCAAAAGAAAACGCGACCATTGAAAGACATAAATTCAATACAAGATCTCAAAGGAAGGAGGAAACTATTGATGAATATGTTACTGAACTCAGGAAAATTGCTAAAGATTGGATCACTTTAAAATGAGCTAATCAGAGATAGGATAGTCTGTGGTACACATTCAGAACGTGTGAAGGAAAGGTTGTTAAGAGTTGACAATCTAACTCTAAAGTACTGTCAGAAATAGAAAATAAACTGATTTTTGGCTGTTACTCTGTATCCCTAAAATTTACACAATTGCAAATAGCATATGTCGAAATAACCGGCATTGGCCTAACTGGGCATTCAGTGGGATGCGGCATAGGATATCCAGAAAAGCATGTTTACTCATACAATCGGTCAAAACTTAGAAAAAGTACGAATAGCTGCTTAAAACAATAGATCAGACTATAGATGGCAATTAGGTCGCTCAGCCAGGTATGACGACGGACCGTCGACTCACCTGGCATGAAATGCACGTGCTGCCCACAAGCACAAGGGGTCATCTCAAATATATACTCTGCGTTTTCTTGTGTGTTGAGTATGTCTCATCTATTGATAAACATCTAACGTGTTCTTCTTTAATAAAGTTTATGTTGAGATATGTGAAAGAGTATGATACCCACCGAAGGTTTAACTCAGCCATCGTATTAAATGTCTAAAAATATAAAGGTAGCATCATCATCTTTATTCTCAAACACCCACCAACGGTGGTACATGAGACAATTAAATACAGATGAATATAATAAATGCCACGATAGCAGTGATGTACATCCAAGATTTCAATACATATACATGTACAAGAATATATCATAACTTGTTGAGAAAGCGTAAATGTTACCAGTTAAGTTTTATTTGGAGCCTTTTGGAAACAATTCTAATATATTTTGCAAAGTTACATAAAGTGTTTGTTCTTTTGGATTTGAAAAGGTTCGCCATTTTTGAGAGATTCGGCCATTGTAGAAATTAATTATGGATAAAAATTGATCTTACTGAAATAAAGGCTTCACATTAAGAAGATAATGGAACTCATCTGCAACTGCTGGTGCTGCGACGGGACTGGATGTTATTTGTAAATTGTTACTTGCCCAGTTTAATTCCCCTGAAGGATTATCTTATCTTAGCTGATATTTTTATTATTTATTATTATAGGATATTTTATATAGCGCACATATCCACGCACTAGTGCTTGCTCAAGGCGCTGGTATTTTTTCCTCGATCATTGGATGTCAATCTCAACGGCATATCGCATTATCAATCTCAACTCCCTGTCAACCAGCCCGACCCCAACCATCGTCTGCGACACCCGACCTGGTTTTGCTTTTGAGAGGACCCCCCATGTCTGTTTGTTTAAGTAGTGATAGTGAGACTCCATGGTAGCTACATCCTTAAGAGTTTCACAATTGCAAATGTTATTTTGTACGTCAGCTATCGTTCATAATGAAGCTAAGTCTAAATTCAAAATGAGCATTTGAAAAGTGTCCTTTGTAATACAATATAATCGCACACTAATTTGCATAAAGTCATGGTCTGTTCCAAATAAGTCGACTTGGACTTAGAAAAAAACCACATTGCTCATTTCTGCACTAATCTCTCCTCCGTAAATTCCTTTTTTTACGTTTCCTATCTCCCTACCACTGAGACTGTAGTTAGGCCGAACTTAGTTTAACATATATTTTACACTTTCAAGTATTACCTACATAAATTGTGGATATAGATGTGAAAAAACAGGGTTTTTTTTCCATTTCCGACAGTACTTTAGAACGAGCAATATCTATTTGTAAGGCAGAAGAGGAATCCTTGAAACAGATGAAACAATTTGAACAAGAAAACAGTGTCTCTTTTGTGAAGAAAAAATAATCAAAGAATAATGGAGCAAGACCAAAGACTTACGATAAAAGTAACTCTCAGAAGTCAGGAAAACAGAACGTGACATTCAAATGTAGCAATTGTGGAAATGTTCATGGTAAACGTGAATGCCCAGCTTATGGAAAAACTTGTGCCAAGTGTAGAAATCTTTACCATTTTCAACAATGTTGTAGAAGTAGACTAGTTCACGATCTGGAAGAAACGTCAGTAAACTTACAAGACTCATCAGAAAGCTTTCTTGGTTCAGTAGAATTTGAAACAAATGAAGATGTTTTGTTTATATCAACTGTAACTGAAACAGAGGTGGATGAAAATGACATTTTCATAAACTCGCCAGTTGAAGGTACAAAGTTGAAGTTTAAGTTGACACAGGCTCGCAAGCGAACATCATTCCAGTAAGCACATTCAGGCAAATCAAAGATTACCAACAAATTCCCCTTAAAAAATCATCTGTTAAACTCAAGAGTTACAGTGGCGACATAATACCACAGTTTGGGAAGTGCAAAACTTCACTTGAATTTAACATAATTGAGGTGATGTCTGTTAAGACAGAAGAAATTGTAGATGAATTTTCTGAAATCTTCTCCAGACTTGGGTGTCTCGATGAATCATACCACATAGAGATAGATCCACCAGTTCCACCTGTAATACGTCCTCCACGTAAAGTGCCTTCTGCACTCAGAGATAAACTCAAGGACTCATTGGACAGCATGGTGAAGCAAGGTGTCATTAGAAAGTTTGACCAACCAACAGACTGGGTCAGTTTCTTAGTGATAGTTGAGCCAGGCTCTGATAAGCTTCGCATCCGTTTAGATCCAAAACATCGTAATGCTGCAATCAGACGGGAACACTTTCAAATTCCCACGATAGAAGAAATAACCACAAAACTCCCACAGGCTCATCTGTATTTAAAGATTGATGCAAATGCAGGATACTGGCAGGTATTGTTAGATGAGCCATCACAACTTCTCACTACATTTAACATCAGGGATACATCAGGGATTTGAAGATGACAGGCTGATACGGGGCAGAACTACAGAAGAACATGATGAACGACTAAGAGCAGTACCCCAGAGAAGCAAGAAGATCAACTTGACACTCAACAAACAAAAATGTAAGTTTGCTGTTGAAGAAGTTACTTACATAGGTCACAAACTTACAACTCATGGTGCCACCACCTGAAGATAAGAAAGGAGTGGAAAGACTGTTAGGGTTCAT